GGCGGTTACCAGGGCGGCGGCGGCGGCCGAGGGTAGGGCAGCGGCGGTGGCGGCTGGTGACGGCAGCGGGAGGCGGCGGCGGCGGCGGCGGCGCAGAGGCGCGGCGGCGGCGGCGGCTAGGGTTAGGACCTTGCTGCGATAGATACCATGTAGAGAGATAGGTTATGGGTTGTGCAATCGCAATACATTGATCGGTGCACCAGGCACGTATATATAAGTACAGAGGTAGGCCACAACCTCAACTATACAAGGAAACGGAAGGTGGGCCCTACACGCACATATACACGTACACAATATACTCAACAGGCAGTGTGACGAGCGTTGAGGGCAAGGTCATGGAAGCATCCCTTGGCATGCTGGTCTGCAGCGTCGTACGCGTCGTGGAGCTCGTCGTGGATGCGGAAGTAGTCCAGCTCGTCCAGCAAGTCCTCGGCGGAGTGCGCCGAGCGCCCCAGCTTCCCCAGCAGATCCTCCATGGCCCGGCCGTCGATCTGCTTGCGGCTGGCGGTCTCGAGCGTGGCCTGCACGAGCAGCAGCTCCATCCTCAGGGCCTCGATGTTGAGACCCAAGCGCTTGCTGGCATCCCAAGCCTCCAGCAAGCCGTCGGCCACAGGGGCCAGCGCCTTGCCCACCACCCACTGCGCCGCGCTGAGGGCCGCGAGCATCCTCTCGTCCCCGGCGACCGTCGTCTCCGCCCACCGCCGCACGTCGTGGAGACGGTCGTCGCTGGTGAGGTGAGGGGTGTCGCTCGCCTGCCTGAGAATTGTGTTGGGTTGTGTTGCTCAGCTGAGGGCAAGAGGGTGGAGCTATGCTGCTTGGCAGGAGGGAAGATGATTACAGGAGAGGAGATATGTATCTTTGTTCGGGTTGGAGTCTCCGCCAAACCGTCCCAAAACAGATGAAATAAATTAGGGTGTAGCCAATGTAGTTGTTGCGTGTGACATGCACTTATCCTCTAATCTGATCATTTTGCCGCCCTAATGTCTGCTCTTCTGGCCCCCATGCGCCAATAGGCAGTAATAACAATGCTTGTTCTGATTCTTGCATTCATGCATCCATTTCATGGCAATTGCCAACTAGACCAGGAGCTAGCTAACCATGACAATGACAAACCAAGGTGAGATCAACATGTACCCACTCTAGAGTCTTTTTTCTTTCTTTTTTTGCATTTTCACCCACTCTAGAGTCTACGACGCACAATTAGTCGAACAAGCGTAGTTTCATACCAGTTTTGTAATAAGATGCGAATGCCGTCACCTGAATTAATTATGAATGCTCTATTGACTCTGGGATGTAGATGCATTTTGTGGAGCAACTAGATATGTTTGTACTTGCCGACCTTAGGTTGTTTAATAGTTTTAATGAAAAAAAAGAAGCCGTAGGTATGTATGTACTACCTCCGTCTTGATTTATTAGTCTTCATTGTAATCTGTGCAAATTTTTAATCATAAATCTAACTAACAAAATGTTCATGCATGTCACCAAAAAATATATCATTGAAACTATGTTCAAATACAAATCCAACGATATATTTTTTGTTGACATGCGCTAATATTTTGTCAGTTAAATTTTTTATTAAAATTTAGCACAAATTACAAAGGGGACTAATAAACCAGGATGGTGGTAGTACTAGGTAGCAACCCCAGATGGACAGGTGAAGTCGATGCCCCCAAAATCAGGTAGCCATCCAGTCGGGAATTTAAAAGATGCCAGACCGGTAATCCTTCTGAGCCCCAGGCTTAATTGCACCTGCCCTGACAAAAAAAATCAAAATAAGTAGTAGAAAAATTCTAAAAATTCCAAAAAAAATTATGTGGTGGATAATTTGATGCATGAGGTTCACTCCAAATTTCAAATCATTTATACATCTGAGTAGCTCTCGGCAAAAAAGACAAATTCAGGGTCTGAAAATGTTTACTGTTCTGATTTGTCTTTTTTGTTGAGAGTTGCTCAGATGTCTAAATAATCTAAAAATTGAAAGGGACCTCACACATTAAATTATCTACCACAAAAAAATTGATTTTTTTTGAACTTTTTAGTATTTATTTTGAATTTTTTTCTTACCGGGTGCAGATGAGCCTGGGCATCGAAACGCCACGACAGCTTAGTTTAATGTCTAATCACTGCCGGCAAAGCATCCCATGGAGCAATGCTACAAAAACAGTGAAGAAACCGCTGCCAGTAAAGCATCCCGTGAACTGACACTAGAAAATGCTGGGCTTGTGGATGGATCAGCTACACTGACATGCATATACGCAAACTCAAGTAATAACTCAGCCTGGCAGCTAAGCCAAGAAAAAGAAGTCACATGACCCTGCATCATATGAAAACTAAGCATTAGCTGCATCTGCTAACCGTTGTTGCTTCGAATGCATTCTAACCCGAATCCTACAGCAAGCAGTTAAGGGAACGGGCATTTCAACATTGTGTAGCAGCAGAACAACACTGCAGCACACAGCACCTAGCTTGTCTGGCAACAAATTAGGAGAACACCACACAGCATCATCAACTTATGAAGTTCCATACGCTCGCAGCCTCATGCTCGGCACAAACTTCAGTTTGTCCATCCTAGCAGCGGAGTAAAATTTGCGGTCGCTTTTTTCATGCCAACGAATGGTTTCATAAAATTGTTTCGCAGGACAACTATTTCTGGTTTATTTTTTAGTAACCAACGGCAGGAACTAACAGCAAACAACAATCATGTGTACATTCAACCAGAAAACTTTGCGCCGTTCAGAAACAGCATGCTGCCGTGACTAAGTCAAGGTCTTGCTCCAAACACTTCTGACCACAACACCCCAGAGGCAAAGAGCGATGTGCTACTAGTCTAGTACAACATACATATAGCCACTGTTTTTTGCAAATGTACAACTTGAACCAGGAGACTTGTTTCTGTGGGGTTTCTCTGATTCGAATCGTCTTGGGTACGCGTAATTCTGACGCCTGCCTGCCAAAGCAGACGGATGCTACTCCTTGAACCCGAAATCGTCAAATATCCCCTGAAAGTGGAAGAGAGAACCTGTCAGTCCTTGCGGATTGCACTTTGAGCCTCGCAGGAGCAAGATCGAATAAAACGTATATATCCCAAAATCATCAGATATGCCTGTGCGCATCTTTCCCTTTTAGATAGGACAGTTGGGTGCTGAAAGAATCAAAAGCTATGCCTGTGCACATCTTTCCCTTTTAGATAGAACAGTTGGGTGCTGAAAGAATCAAAAGCTAACCTCGGGGTCGTTTATCCCATATGCAACACAATAGTGTTCCTGAAAACAGAAAATATAATGCACAGAAGATCAGAAGAGCGCATAAATTAGTATGATATTTGTATGGGAAATGCGATCCCTCAACTGATAGGCAGTTGTTTGCACATAATTACCTGCATCATATGCCACTCTTCAAACTCATCAAACAGCTCTAGCAGCTCAATCCTGCAACCATACAGCTCCGTGAGTTATGGCGGCAACAAAACCAGCAAGTGCAAAGTCACATAAACCGGAACTTAACCCCTTTTGTCAGTATCATATTTGAAACACTATGGACAGATAAAATTTATTTTTCACAGGCTATTGGAAACATTACCTACGCCTTTCTCCACCGTCAATGAAATCATTGTATATTTTCAGCATATCCCAGGCAACAGCTCTCTGAAAAAAACAATCGTAAGATCCCAGAAAAGAATTGCTATATTCTAGTTTCAGTGTTAGTCAAATGTATACCTTCCATCCATGATCGAGAAAAAGTTTTTCCTTGTGACTTAAGGTTGGTGTAGCATTTATGCCAAGGAGGGGGCATCCTCTACTCTGCATTAGTAGCACAACAGGAAGTGTTAAGTTATGAATCAGTGCTACAGATGAAGTGGCAGATACCTCAGTGATTAATATATATATATCTGTACAGCAGAGAAAAGAACAGGTGCTACCCAACAGCAAGAGCACCATCTATTTTCATTCATACAAGTAAGATGTACTCGGTCAATTGAGATACTAAAACAAATAGATTCAGATCGCACACTCAACATGGCAATTGACTTTAGACCGAACAGTTTCCATCATGTTGCAATTTTAGTTTGCCTTCTCACTCTTCAGTTATGGATACAATAACACCATATGCTCTCTCCTTTAATTGCCATACAGCTACCGACCAATCTTTCCATAGTTTTAAAACGATTTAATAGCCATTACATAGGTTGTGGTGAATGAATCACAGCAAAGGCCACAACTTACATTTGTTCAAGTGAGATCCCTAAATAATCTACCTGACAACTTCCACACTCAGTTGCAGACCTCATTGAGTGTCAAGATATCAATTAACTGATATGATACTTCCTCCGTCTCAAAATAAGTGCAACAGATTTAGAACAAAGTCAGTACAACCTTGTACTAAATCAGCAACACTTACTTTTGGGACGGAGGGAGTACTTCTTATTATAAGATATATGTTCCTCTTATTAATAAAAAGGAGGTCTCTTGATCTCTGGAAGCACATAACTGAAGTCAAGCAATTTCTTTGGTGTCATCAAATTAGCTGAACTTTATCATAGAAATAGAAATGGTATTCAAGTATATATTTCCTACATAAGACGGTATACCAAAATTTTCAACCATTCCTCAAGACAAATGGTCCATGCACCACAGTGAAAGTGTGTGACACAGGTAAAAAGGTACCTCAAGATTCCTAATCATTTGCTCCCCAAATGCATCATCTGGATGGATCTGCATCCACATAGGAGTCAGCAGTGCCAAAAGCTATCAAATATAATGGTGCAAAAGAGTACATCAACGAGAGAATTGTTCAACCTGCTCATATAAGAAAAAAATTGCACTGGAGAACTTCTCGGATGCCCAACTAACAATAGCATCAGTTGAAGCTGGATCTAAGTAAATTAGAACACACTCTGCAATTATAAAGGTCGGCAAGCTGATGACAACAGAAAGATTTATCAAAAGCTTGAAAAACTGGCTTGTGATTCAAGTCAACAATGGAAATAACTCTGCAGCATAACTTCAAGCCAATCAAATTATCATTAGCAGATAAAATAGATTCTCATCCAAAATAATCCAAAAGTGAACCAAGATATGTTCAATAAACGACAATAGAAACCCCTATTTTCAGTTGATGTGGCATTACGACTGTACGTTAATATAAACATGACATAAAATTTAGTTATAACATGTGAGCATCATGCAGGGTGGAAAATTTGATTAAGGTAGCAGAGAATGTGGCCACTTTGTGCAGCATAAAGAGAATAAAAAATGAAGGAGAACACAGGATGCATATAACATACCTTGGGTCCATTTCAGCCATGTGAATAACTGCATCTAGCTTCGGTATATCACGAATATCAGCAGAAAATAGCTTGTAATTTGTACTCGTCACTTCGCCTTTTTCTGAAATATTTGGCCACTGTCAATTTTTGTGCAGGCACATGGAGAACGGAGAAATAGCAAATTCAGTGACAAGGAATGATCACTTCAACAGTTCAACTTACAATTGTTAGAACTAAGACTGATACATTTTCCGTTTAAGTTCTAACAAAGGGAATTTTTCTTGCAGACAGAATGGAAGATGGAAGTATAGCAGAAACTTTCTACTGCAATAACCAACAGGCTATGCTTCCTACCATAAATCTAACCCGCTATAAGCCAACACACATCATGTTATAACCAACGGGACTGGCTAATTTGAAAGAAACCTGGGTAAATAAGCTCTGTATAAATAAACCAAAAAAATCAAAGCTGTCAAATTTGGTATTGACTACAAAACAAAACAAAAATCAGTCTTGCTTGTTGTTAACAACATTATGTTTCTGCAAAATATACATCAACCAAGATAACATGCGCACAAGATATGCATAAAAAGGAATTGTAGTGGCATTAGTGGACAAGTCTAGAACACGTTTGGTTCAAGATTAATGCGCCACAGCTAAGACCAAGCAGTGTGTAGAACGTGACAAACAAAATTGAAGCCACACGTATGGAAAAGGTTGGTAATGATTGTGTCGGTGACATATGAACCATATGAGTAGCCAGCCACAACCATGACAGGAACCAAACACATGACGCAGAAATTGTGGCAAATTGAATGCTCTTAGATGCACATAGGGCTAGGCAGGCGGTAGAAAAAAATTAGAGTAATGAGAGAACTACCTATTGAAATAGAAGCATCAGGTCCTAATTTTTCCTTCATGTCATTATAGTGGTTGATGATGGCAGCCTTTTTGCTGGTTACCTGCAAAACATCAGAAGTTGTCAGAAATTACTTGCTTGTACAAAGATAAGAAGCTGGTGTTCAGAAGGAAGATACAATACATTAACGAGCATAGTAAAAAAATTACACAGAAATGATACTGTGTGGAGTAGTAAGATACACTTGAATACATAAAGCAAAAAAAAAAATCCATACCTCCTGAAAATCCAGCTCTACATAAAGGTATGGAGCAAGCCCTTCATCCTACAATAAAAATACAAGGCAGAAATAGAAATGGGTAAATCAATACTATAAAAGCACCATCTCAATTTATGTATTTTGACCTTCATCGCTTCCTCCAACCAAAACAGAAAATAGTTCATCCACATGAATACTGGAACGCAGTCAGCTAGTTAATGACAATGAAGGGCACAGCGGATTTAGGTTTAGCTTAAATGTTTTGTGATGCATATTAAATGGGCCAGTAAATGGGTAGTAAGCAGCAACTCGTGAAGTACATGAAACATGGAGTTAGGAGACTAACCTGCAACTGGAAAAATGTCGTGTCAAAGCCAGCGCCAAGAGATAATATCTGTTTCCTCTTGTGATCATCACTACCACTCCCAGCATTGAGGAACTGGAGCATAAGTTTCCTAAGAACAGACCAGCGGGCATAGTAGCCTTTGCAAAGTCATTTGAAGATAAGAAATTAGAACCTTAACATGATTTAAATTCAGAGAACCGTATTAGAAATATATGGAGGCACTACGATACCACGATTGATTATTGGAGCCCTTTTTGTTGTCCGCCTAACAAAATGGTGCACGTAATCATCCTTCATGTACCCTTTGGTAACACAGGACCTGCAAACGAAGATGATCATGTCACATGGGTAACATATAAGTCAGCCCCAAGTCTGCTCTGCACCTCAAGCACTTAACTACGAGGTGTCTACTATCTGCTATCCGCAATTCAGGCCATCAATTGACTCGATCAATAACGATCCATAGCACAAACAGAGTTTTACTTATATATAATGACATTTCTGTCTCACTGTATAATCCCTTGCAGAAAGGGGAGTGTGAGAACAGATAAGCTAAGAGCAGATTTCGTATGGAACTAGGAAACAGCATGGCGCACGAAGCAAACCCTGGCTGAAACGTTCCCGTGGCCTCGATCTGCTGCGACGGAAAGCGCGCAAGCACAGGAGCTGAGCATCCGACGAGGTAGCCGAGCTCGTTCCCGCAAATCACAGCCGCTACTACAGTAACGGAGAACGCACACGCGTGCTGGAAAGCAGTGGAAAATGAGGCGGAGCGACGCGGCGGGGTGGGGAAGGAAGGAAGGGGAGGGGACGAGGCGGGGGCGTTACAGCTTGCTCGCCGCGGCGTCGTCGTTGGTGGCCTGCACGGCGGCCGGGCTGCTCCTCGCGGCGGCGATGCCGCCTCCCGCCTCCACCTCCGCCGGCTCCATTCGGGCGGTGCGCGGATCGTCGGATCGGTCGGGCGCCGGCGGCAGGACGCGTCGGCGACGGGATGGGAGGGAGGGAGGGGAGAGCCGGTGCGGTGCGGTGCTTGCACGAGAGGCGACAGGGGCCGGAGGAAGAGGAACACGGCGACTGGTGGAGATGGGCCCCCGACCTAGCCTCCTGACGGATGTGGAGTTGGGCCGAAGGTTTTGCCCGTGTGCGGCCCAAATAACAGCACAGGCCTCTGGACCAGACAACCACAGTAGTCTTTGGACCAGAAATCTTCTTCTCCCTTCAGCGCCTATTAAGGTGAAAAGACCCCTCAAAAAAGGTGAAAAAAAAAGGTCAAATCACTAGTTTTTTTTTAGGGGAGGATCAAATAACTAGTTAAGAGTTATCCCTTGCAACAATCACTCTCCACCTTCAGAAGCTGACAAAATGAGCATACATATGTGCCACTCGTCGTAACCTAGGAGTTCTTTTTCCTTGTAGATTCCTCTATTTAAAATGTTTTTATCTCTGAAACTGTGAGTCCAAATAGTGAACCATTTCCACTGTTGAATCGCGTCTAGATCTTCAAAACTTTTTTTCCATGGAAAATCAGAAAAAGAAAAATCGGTAACCAAATGAATATATGAAAGAACAAAAGGAAGCCCGGAAGCACGGTTGCGGTTTTCGCTTTTTTTAAGCACAAGTTGTGCTCACGAATCAAAATATGTGTTCTTTTTGCGGAAGTAGATGTTGTGTTTTTCCCCTTTTCACGAAAGCACAATTGTGCTTTTTCCTTTTTAAGAAGCACGGATGTACTTCTCATTGAGGCACATGCTATTCTTATTATGGAAGCTCAGTATGTGATTCTGGCAAAAACAAATATGTGCTTCTAATGTAAGTGTGGCATGTGCTTCTCGTGAAAGCAAATATGTGCTTTCACGAGAAGCAAAGCTAGGTCGTGCTTCTCACGGAAGGAAATCAATGCCTCCACGAAAAGCAAATCACAGTTAAGTTTGCTTCGTACGAAAGCAAATATGATCGAGTGAGGCGTTTAGGAGGCCAAGCTCCATGGAGCCCTTTATTTTGGAAAAAAGAATTCAAAATTCAAACTTTTCGGTTTAAAAAAAAATAAAAAATATATGCAAGTATACACGGATGAAATGTATATGTGTGTAAAAATTTAGGATGAGATACCTTGACATACGATTTGTGCAAAAAAGATAAATTCATTGACTTTGAGGATTCATGTGTTTAAAAGCCTCGGTTTTTTCTTTTTTGCACAACCCTCATTTCAACGTCTTTTGTCTTGAAAATTTACACCTATGTACATTATGCCTTAATGTATATGTATATTTTTTCACAAATTTTTGAAATCTAGAAATATGAATTTTGATGAAATTTGAAAAATGCTTTTGGAGGCCTCTATGGAGCTGGGCCTCCAAATGGCATTTTTAATATGATCGAACTATATAGAAATAAGACTTTGGGACCGTGTATGTTGAACGGTTGCCACGTGATCGACTCGCAACACATACCCGTCCAACTATCCAATCCCCGAAGCTCTTCCATCGCCATGTGAACATCACCTCTGTGGTTAAGTATTTAGTCTTCCATGATAATACAACAACAATAATCGAATTCCTTATTTGACGCATTAAAAGCTCAAACTACCGATTTTTTAGTCTTCCATGATAATACAGCAGCAATAATCAGAATTCCTTATTCGACGCATTAAAGGTCAAACTACCGATTTTTTGCACATGAGAGGGGAAACAAACAATCGGTTGGGCCGGTCCATTTAACGTGTAGTCTGGTTATGAATTGAAGGTTCCAACCCTAGTTTTTATCGGTTCTAGAAACTTTCTAGAAGGTTCCTGAAGCCTTTTTTTGTCTGTTTATTTACTGGTTATTCATTTTCTTCTACTTTTCTATTTTTATTTTTCGTTTTATGTTTATTTTCTTTTCTATTCTTGCTTTTATTGTTCAAGTCTATATTCATTTTTTTGTTCAGAAATTTCAAGAAATCCATTTTTCGAAAGTTAAATAATGTCGTTTTGCAAACATTTGGAAAATTTAAATAGTTTTTTTTATCAAAATTGCATTCTGGAAAAAATATTTAGGATTCAAAAAAATGTTCCCAATTTTAAAATGATTTGTTCTTACATTGAAAAAAAAATGGGAACTAAAAAAATGGGAGCACACGTTTGCGGCCTGTGGCATGCCTGGCACACACCTAAACGGATCATGCCTGGGCCGTGGCATGCTTGGGACCATTTATTAGGGGGTCGCCCAGTCACGACAGGGGAACGACCCGTTAGACACGCGTGGGGGAGTGACCCATTTTAGCCTCTCTTTTCTTTTGCAAAATTTCAGCCGTTGGAGAGGTAAATTGGTTGGAAATTTGTCAAAATTTTGCTATAAATAGGGCTGCCCACCTCCCTCATTTCCCACTGTCAAACATGGCTGATCACAACCAGTTTTCCCCTTCCACGCATGTGATTTCGATCTTGGCATACCCGACTATGTCCCGAGACTCGGCTGTGTCCTGTCAAATATAAGCGCCATCCGATGCGGCGCTTATAACATTTGTGGAGTTAAACTGGATAAGGGTTCGGCTAGGTCTGGTTTAACTCCTCAAAACAAAAAAATTGAGGAGTTATGTGGTTTTGAGGATCAGCTAGAGATGCTCTTACGCATATAAATCGCTGTGAAACGACCAATAAACCTGCAAGGAGTTCGTGCATATAAGCAAGTACCCAAGCTCAGGCACAGTTTGCCAAACATGATTCATAAATAGTCTGGACACTTACATAGCAACAGTTTGGACACTTGACCAAGCATGTCTTGTTAATGGACATAATTAGCTCTACATCTTAAACACACTACTGGGATGGGGACACTACATAGTAGATGCACTTCAACTCAGTTGCCAAAGTACATCAGATCAGACTTCGTTGCCATTGGGGACCAACCAACAATGAACTGCACCGTACAGAATCCAAGGTTGCAAATACCGATACTTGTGAGAGACTTTTTGGGCCTGAATTCAACAGAATCTGCATAACAAATACCTGCCTTTGAGTAGGCTTCCATAGAAACCGTGAGCGTCCCCTGACGTTCCACGCAAACAACGCCTCTTTGAAGGGTAACACGACCGTCTGGATCCACTTTCAATGGTTCTTCTCCAGAGTCAAGCAGCAGAATGTCCTTATCTATGGCAGCAGTACGGGCAACCACACGACCTCTAGAATCATCATGCCATGACCCTTCAATAATATCAGCAGAGATAATAGTTGCTACAACCGTTCTGGCAAGTAGCGCAGAGGTGACCTCTATAGTGGAAAAATTGCCGTCCCAACGACGACAGGCAAGCTCACCATAACATCCAAAACCATGTGAATATTCAAACCATCGCGCCATCAGTGTTTCATCTTCACACTCTGTTGTGCCCTTCACTTGTAGTTGAATCTCAAAGTCAACAGGGTCGATCAGCACAATCGGGCGACACGGGCCAGTCAACTTCAAAATGAATCCTGCAAGCCCCATTTGTTACAAGTCAGTGGAACATATCCAAATAGTAATCGACCATCCTAGAGTCAGTATCTTTTCATATTTGGACAATGTAACCACCACCTGGAAGCACTCATCCTAGTCAGATGCATGTGTCCATGTCTGAGCAACACAGGCACCACCACCTTGGATAAAACTGGGGTGGATTCAGCATTACTGTTTTGTGTACACGCTTTAATAGGTAGAGGATGCACAGTAGGTACTTTGGTAGTTCATGGTTGAAATTATACACTATTCCATAAAGCATTGCAAGAGAGACTGTCATAAAAGGTACCACGTCACTCTGTAGAGGAAAGCGAGGTAGACTAGACTAACGTTAGCACATAAGCATAGTGGAAAAGCTAACCTAGAAAAAGCTACCATAAGCATTTCCTAGATCTTGAGGTAGGCGTAGGAATGAATCCTGGAAGCAAACAGGAAGAATGCAGGAAGCAACTCACACCATTTTAGCCATATATGGAAACCATTTCGCACATTAACCATGCGGCCTGTATTTTAAATTTGAAAATGAAACAGAGTAACCGAATTAACAAGCGACCACCCATCCCTTCTCCACCCATATGCAGGCAGCCAAAAAGGTTCTCAGCTTGGCCTGAGTCTACACATGCAGGTCAAGTCTTGATGAGGGAGATGCCCTTAGTATGGAAAAGATATGGAAGTGCAGACGGCAATTTTTATTTTAGTAACAGTAGCAAGAGAACCAAGAAAAAAAAAACCTGTTGAGTGAGAATTTGGGGGTCATCCCTTGTACGGCTGAACAGAAGGTTGCGATTGTGATCCACGGTGTCTCGAGCGGCAATGAAGCCATATACCTCCACTGGCCACCTGATTTTCCACTCTTCATTCTCCATGACTTGGATGGAGAAGATCTGCAAGAAAGCGCAGGGACCAACATGTGCTGGGATGGTTCCGTATGTATAAAGTATGGGAGTCATAAACGCTGCAGACAAGCAAAGGGAAAGATACAACTAATTAGCTCTTGTCACGTTAAGGCCAGAGATCTAAAACTGAGCAAAAAAAAGATCTCCTTTCTAGTTTATGACTAAGTACTTCCTCCGTCCAGAATTAGTTGACGCTCAAACGGATGTATCTAGCACTGAAATACGTCTAGATACATCCGTTTGAGCATCAACTAATTCCGAACGGAGGGAGTAGAAGACAAAAAATCCAAGGTACGCACAAGCAAGCTACAGGTAAGGAACAATGTTATTTGCTTGAGACATAATAGAGTAAGATGAAAAGTAGATTACTGTAGTTTTCCAAAGAACCACATGTGCGGCTCCAAAGATGTTCCCAGGAAGAACGGCATGTAGCCATGAACCTTTCCTCGTTCGCCAACATCTCCCTGTACGATCCGCCTCCAACTCGCTTGGGACTAAAGATTGTGTTGTTCTTTGCTTGTTTCCCGATCCCACCATGCATTGATTCTTGTATTTCTGTAGCATCAAGCTGTTGCTCTGAGAATGAATCAACAAGTTCTTGTACTGCTTGTGCTGATGGTGGCTGAGCAGTATCTCCGACATGTTCATCACACCTGAAAGGGGACAAGCTCGATGAGTAAGATATTGTATATTTAGCACTAAATATAGACTGTATTATTCTCGACGGTGATTCTGGTATGACAAGTTCAGTGCTCTCAGGAACGAAGGAAAAGGTAAGCGGGAGAGGAAGGAGGCGGGGGCGTTACAGCATGCTCGCTGCGGCGGCGTCCTTGGCGGCCTGCACGGCAGCCAGGCCGCTCCTCGTGGCGGCGATGCCGCCTCCCGCCTCCGCCGACTCCATTCGGGCGGGGCGCGGCTCGGAGAATCGGTCGGGCGCCGACGGCAGGGCGCGTCCGGGACGGGGCGGCGGGATGGGAGGGAGGGGAGCGCCGACGCGGTGCTTGCAGGAGAGGGGACGGGGGGCCGGAGGAAGAGGAAACACGGCGGAGTGGTGGAGATGGGCCCCCGACCTAGCCTCCTGACGGATGTGTAAAACTGGGCCGAGCGTTTTGCCCGCCTGAGGCCCAAACAACAACACAGGCCTCCGGACCAGAACTCTTCTCCCCCTCAAAAAAAGAAAAGAAAAAAGGACCAGAACTCTTCTCCCTTCCGTCTATGAAGTATGGACATATATTAACCTAAAAAAAAGTACCCATAAAAAAAGTCTATGAAGTATGGACATATGGCATGCTGTATGTGCGGAACCGCGGGTGAGATGAAAGTTTAGTGTTTGAGGAACAACCGCCGTCACCGAGATACCTTCAGTCCCTTCGCCTTTCCCTTCAACTATCATCTTAGCGCTGAGAGGTGAGGGACCTCATATAGTCTAGAATTTTATGGTCTTAGTTGGCATCTACCGGTGGTTGTGGGTTGTGGTCTTCGTCAGCATCTAAAGCATGGAGGCGATGTTGGAGAAGGTCATCATGGTGTACCCGGTGCCATGAAGATCTCATGTTGTCTCAGCGTTGCCCCGAGGATGTCGGCGAACGGGTAGGTGAAATCTCTAGCATTATCTTTGGGCTCGCCTTGCCGATGATGAAGCTATTCTAAGATGAGAAAAATAAAAATAAGATAATGTACGGTCTGTGCATGTCGATAATGTCACTCACCCTTCTTTGAACAATCGGATGGGGACGAAGTGGAGGACGGTGGTGAGCTGATGGAGGGTGAAAAGCATGAGCTAGTCAAGACCGTCGTCAATGGCCACCTTAACCAGCGACATCATCATCATCATCATCGTCGCACCACGCCGAGCCCTATCATTACCACCACCGGTAGAAACATATCGCTCCTCTTTGTTCACTCATGTGTCGCTCGATCTACGTGAATAAGGGTGACAACATGGGCGGGGGAGATCCACGCCAGCCTATCCACTTTGTCGACCACCGCCGTTGCATGAGCTTGACGGTGCATGCTCGGCACCTCTCCGCTTGTTTGCTATCGCCACCTCTCTCTCCTCTCATGTATTGCCGTCGCCTGCCAGTCTCCGTGATGTCCTAATGCTGTCTCTGTGTGATGTGTCATACTTATGTTTCGGTTAATGTTTTAATGGAGCTTACATTCTTAGTTTTCTCTTGCTAATGCTCCAAAATATATTTCGTGTTTTGCCTCCTGCCATGTGCGAACAAGTATCTTGGTGCCAGCTTGAACATAAGATGACACACAATGATAAGCTTGCCTTTGTTTATGTCTGAGTGTATGTTCTCTGTAGTGTTAATGCCTAAAAGCCAGGAAGCCATGAACCCTTTATTAGCATCCACACTTAGTCATGTTGAAGTATCTACCTGCTAAAACTTATTATCAATTTGTGATGTTGAGGCATCATTCTTTTTGTTGTTGTTGTATATTGTTCAAATGTTTTTTGTCCGCTTCCGATCCGCCGCCCCTCCATTACTGTATCATGTCTGTTTTCATTGTATTCCGGTATATTTGTATTTGTTTCCACAAATGTACCGCTTCTGATTCTGAAAAAATAAATATGGAATAGGATATGGTATGATCATTATTCATCCGAATCTGATCCGGTTTCGCCCCTACAAAACCCTAGAGCGAAGCACTTGAGTGGGGTGGTTCTTTTCAGAGAACGAAGGCTTTATTGACCAAACAATAATACTAGCTAATTGTATGTGCATTGCAACGTACGGGCCATACATATTCTCTAGTGGTTCAACACCAATCATGTCTAATAATTTTTTTGATCGAGCGAACACTTTTCTACGAGAGAGGAAACCTTATTCTTTTCTTACAGGTAGTATGCAATGGAGATAGAGATAGATATGGGACATTTAATCTCTTAGTGTCGAATAGAGTATCTGTCTAGTAGGATTAAATTATTTGAATGAATGGATGTAATGCATTCATACACTCACAGTGGAATGGATGAAGATGAATGGAGTATCTACCTGGTACGATTAAACAACTGATCCTTTATTGATTGATTAATTAGTGAATAAAACAAAGAAAGGTCCTTGTGGATAAAAACATTTCACGTATGAGCCTGAAATTACTGGAAAGTCTGTCAGTAAATATGGAAGTTCGCTAACGTTAGGCCTCCTTTGGTTCATAGGATAGGAATATTACAGGAATAGGAAAATCATAGGAAGTGAGATGACATGCATCTCAATTCCTATAGAGAAGGAGATGTCATTTGATGCATAGGATAGGAATTTTTTCATTGAAGTCTTATAGAGCTAATGTTTTTTTTCCTTCAAAATGTGAAGGATTGATTCCTATCCTACATAGGAATAGGAACCCGTTCCTACAAACCAAAGGGCTTCAAAGGAAATTTTCCTTTGCAAATCCTATTCTATAGAAATCCTATGAAATTCCTACAAACCAAAGGAGGCCAAGTGAGATCTAATGTTGGTTGTCAAGTGTATCACAGCACATTGGAATCTCGTGCGTCTCTGCGAACATTGGTGACCCATTTAAGGCCTCCTTTGGTTCATAGAGTAGGAAAATTATAGGAATAGAAAAGTCATAGGAAATGAGATGACATGCATCTCAAATCCTATGAGTAGGAATAGGAAAGGAGATGTCCTATGTTTCAACTTATAGGATTTTTTCCATTGAGTCTAGGCTAATGTTTATTTTCCTATGAAATGTGAAGGATAGGAAGAGTTCCTCCATAGGAATAGGATTCTATTCCTACAAACCAAAGAGCTCTATAGGAATTTTTCCTATAAAAATCCTACCCTATGAAATTCCTACAAAATTCCTCCAAACCAAAGGAGGCCTAAAAAGGAGAAAAGACCGCATTCTTCCGTTGGCTCAAAAGGTTTTTCAGTTTCACAGAAAAAGGCGTGCTATAAAGAGGGGTTGCTATGATGAGGGAGTTGGGAAACACATTTCAATCATATACATTTTATTTCCCAAATATGCCACCAAATAGGAAGAGTTTTTCCAAGTTGAGAATGGAGAGGAACCCCACCACCTCTATGTGATCCCGATGCCTTGGGCCCCCGGGTGCCCGAAGTAGGGGCTCCTCCCTGTGGACGGTCTGGGTGGCCGGGTCCTTGCCCTCTATGCGGGAAATGGTCATTTTTCACTAGGTGGTGGGGGGGGGGGTATAAACCCGCCCCTCCCCCCTTCTTCCACCTTGCTCCTGAATCTTTCCCAAGCTTTGCTCCACCATTCTCAAACCCTAAAAGTTTGAGATCTCCTCCCCCATCCACCCAAACACACCGTTTCTTTGGGTATTACTACATAGAGGAGGTGGCCAATTCGAAGTACTTTTTGTTCGCAATTTTGGAAGGGCCGAAGGGGGGCCATGACCCCGTTCATGCTCGAGTAGAGTAGTAATTTTGGAAGGGGAATACTCGTGTGAGATCTCACACTAGGTGAGATCTATAAGATCGATTCTTTTAAAAAAAAATACATGTCCAAACATTCTCAAATTTTTTGTAGACACGTATCAAAAAGTTTCAGCTCCTAATTCAACTTACATTAATAGAAACAAAAAAGACAAAATTGGAAGTGTCAAAGTACCATTCACCCAAAACTGCTACTATTCACATTTGAATCTGTCTTTTTGAATCTCTAAATGTAAGTTGTGTTTTGAGCTGATTTTGTTCGGCATAGCCCACATGAATGTTGTTAAATAATTTCAGATTATTTTGAAACGTCTAAATATGACATTTTGGAGTTGATCTCACGATCTCACCTAAAAGTGAGATCTCATACAAGTCTCCCCCGATCAGAGACTGGCCGCCACCTGCTAATATATGAGCAGTTTGCCAAAAGCTGAACCATAGTGTGTCACTTGGCACTTCACCAAACATGACATGACTTTTAAATAGTCTGGACACTAGACATAACATGATTTCTAAACAGTTTGGACACTTGATCAATCATAACTTGTTAATTAGCTGGACATCTACAGCATACTACTGGGATGGGAACACCAAACTGATGCAGTTGAACTCAGTTGCCATCGTACATCAGATCATACTTTCTTGCCATGGGGGACCAACCAACAATAAACTGCACCGTGCAGAAACCAAGGTTGCAAGTACCATTACTTGTGAGGGATTTTTGGGGCTTGAATTCAACGCAATCTGCACGACAAGTACCTGCCTCTGAGTAGGCTTCCACGGAAACCGTGAGCATTCCCTCATGTTCCACACAAACAACACCCCTTTGAAGGACAATACGACCATCTGGATTCACTTGCAGACGTCCTTCTCCAGAATCAAGCAGCACAAAATCCTCATCTATGTCAGCAGTACGGGCAACCACACGACCTCTATAATCAACAGGCCATGACCCTTTAATAACATCAGCAGAGATGATAGTGGCTGCAACCGTTCTGGAAAGTAGCGCAGAGGTGATCTCTAGTGTGCAAAAATTGCCGGCCCAACGACGACAGGCAAGCTCACCATATTCTCCAAAACCATATCCATATTCAAACGATCGAGCAATCAATGTTTCATCTTCACACTCTGTTCTGCCCTTCACTTTTAGTTGAATCTCAAAGACAACAGGGTCAATCAACGCAATTGGGCGACACGGGCCAGTCAATTGCAAAAATGAATCCTGCAAGCATCATTTGTTACATGTCCAAATTAGTAATTGACCACCCTAAAAAGTTAGTTTGTTTTCACAGTTACACAATGTTGTGACAACCACACCTGCCAGCACTCAGACACCCGCGTCTTTTTCCCTTTTTTGGATTTGAGATTGCTGTTCATGCCTGACTGACACTTGGGACACCTAAACGGCTTAATCCTAAATCAGATCCATGTGTCCATGCCTGAGCACCACCACCTTGGATAAAACTGGGGTGGATTCAGCCTATGGTTGTGCGCTCACACTTTAATAGGCAGAGGACGCACAATAGGCTCTTTGGTAGTTCATGGTTGAAATTATATACAGTTAAACAGTTGACAGAGTAGGATGTATTTATTCCAAAACATTATTTGTATTTTAAATCTGAAAATGAAACCCGACTTAACAAGCGGCCGACCATCTCCTCTGCACCCATATGCAGGCAGCCAAAAAAAGGCTTCTTAGCTTGGCCCTGTGTCTACAGATACAGGTCAAGTCTGGATGAGGAAAATAACCTTAGTACGGAAAAGACACACAGGTGCAGAGGACAATACTAGATTATGTTAAGTTAGTAACGGCAGCATGAGAATTAAGAAGAAGAAAAATTACCTGTTGAGTGAGAATTTGGGGGTCATCCCTTGTCTGGCTGAACAGAAGGTTGCGATTACGATCCAAATTGTCTCGAGCGGCAATGAAGCCATATACCCCCACTGGCCACCTGATTCTCCACATTTCATTCTCCATGACCTTGATGGAGAAGATCTGCAAGAAGCTGAAGGGGCCAGCATGTGCTGGGATGGTTCCATATGTATAAAGTATGGGAGTCACAAAGGCTGCAGCCAAACAAAGGGAAAGATACAAGTAATTAGCTCTTGTCACGTCTCTTAATTCAGGCCAAAAATATATAACTAACCAAAAAAGATCCCCTTTCTAGTTAATTACTCTACTAAGCAAGCTTTAGGTAAGGAACAATGTAATCTACTCAAGACATAATAGAGTAAGAAGAAAAGAAGAGCATGAGTCATATAAGTAGATTACTGTAGTCTTCGAAGAAACCACACTTGCCACCCCAAGTGTATTCCCAGAAACGACGGTATGAAACCACATCTTCTTCCTCGTCCGTCAACATCTCCCTGTATGATCTGCATAACCCAACTTGCTTGGGGCTAAAGATTGTGTCGTTCTTTGCTTGTTCCTCGATCCCACCATGCATCGATTTTGTTTTTGTGGCATCAAGCTTTTGATCTGAGAATGAATCAACTAGTTCTTGTACTGCTTGTGCTGATGGTGGCTGAACAGTATGTCCGACATGTTCATCACACCTGAAAGGGAACAAGCTCCAAGAGTAAGATGGTATTTTAGCCACTGAAAAAAATATAGCGAGGCCCTTCTCCAAATGCCACACAAGTTATAGCGCGCTAATTGCGTGCTATATTTCAAAATAGCGTTTGCAAAAAAAATGCTGAATATATCAAATATAAAGTATTTCAGCAACTAATTTTTCCTAGGAGCAATACATGCACAAGGGCCAAATCCAAGGCATGAACAGAACAAGTCAAATAGTTTGAATATACTCCCTCCGTTCTAAATTACTCGGCGTGGTTTTAGTTCAAATTTGAACTAAAACCACGACGAGTAATTTGGAACGGAGGGAGTAGTTTCTAACATCAACAACCACAATTTCAAGAGTCTCTAACATCAATAGCTCAGTACACTATCAATGCCTACTGAGAACTGAATGCCTACTAAGCAGAACTGAATGCCCACTCAGGCAACTTTGTTTCTTTTTTGCTTTCCGGTCAGATGATACAGGCTCACGTACATATGCTCATTTTACTTTTTTCTACTACAGTTTCAGGAAGCTGTGTTTTTTGTAGAGCAAGAACATCTGAGCTCCTTCCTTTGCATGATGTTGCTTAGTTAATAGGAGAGATCACACCTGCGCTAACAACAAATAGTAATACTGCCATTTAACCATGCTCAAGAGCTATTTACCAGTTCAACAGTTATGCTATCCTACTAATTTCACAGCTTGAGTTCAGTACAGAGTAGAGAGTATAAGTATAACACAAGCTACACTTTATAGAGAAGAAAATAATTAACTATACTGTACTTTTTTGCATGTTTTCCATTAGTGTATGATTACAAAGTCAGAACAAACTTGTGGCCTGACAGGTGACAACTCAGCTAGAGCAAATAGTGTATATACAGTTAATTGGTCAAAACCACAAACCATATTCAGGCTATCAGCATCTTTCTATGGATATGCAGGGGATCTCCTTCTGAAGCCCAGTTTCCTTTGGTGGTGCTCTTGCCGGCAGCCCAACGGGGGACGGAGATACCCTGCTTCTGAATCCCGTTATCCTTTGGTCTGGTGGTTCTCTTGCCGGCGGCACAGCATGACACGGGGAGGGCAGGGAGATGGCGCGGAGGAGAAGCGGGCACTACCTGGTGGCTGAATGCGTGGCTGACATCACCCACGCCCTGCTACTGCTAGGCTGGAGTCCAACTGCAGGAAGACGTCGCCGCGAGAGGGTGCTGCTGCTACCGTGAGAAGAACTTGCCGCCGCAGCTCCCGACCAGATTGTTGCCGCCGCCTCCGCTCCCGACCAGATTGTTGCCGCCGCCTCCGCTCCCGACCAGATTGTTGCCGCCGCCGCTCAGCTCGGGTGGGAAGGGGAGAAGTTGAGAGCGAGGGTTGCGTTGGGTCCGTTCGTGTGAGAAAAGGTTGCGGCCGAGTGGCGGCCTCGGCTTTTTGGGCCCGCTGGGCTGTGTTGCCGTGGTTTTCTTAGTTTTGAGCCGAGTGTACGCTAAAACGTTACACGCTACAACGTTATAGCGCCCCCTCATCAAAAAGAAAAGAAAAGAAACTACAACGTTATAGCAAGGTATAGCGTGCTAATCACACAAATAATGTCGTAGCGGCTAAATTTGCCAAACGTAGGGTTTTCTTTCCTAATACGCTATAACGACGCTATAACACTGAAATAGCACACTTTTTTTTGTTGATATTTTCCTTGATTTTAGCTTTATAGAACTAGATATACTTACTCCGTCCGAAAATACTTGTCATCAAAATGAATAAAATGGGATGTATCTAGACATATATTAGTTCTAGATACATCCCTTTTATCCATTTTAATGACAAATATTTCCGGACGGAGGAAGTATGTTGTTCTCGACGGTGATTCAGGTATGACAACTAGTACATCAATCAGTGGCGGAGATAGAGGGTGGACAACCTGAAATTGAAAAATAGCCTTTATAGTACTGTAGCAGAAAGGTTAAAAATATAAGAAAATAAATAAATTTATATGTTTTTTTGAGCGGTAAATAAATTTATATGTATAGTTGTACTTTTGGCCCATCCTGTTCCAGTGGGCTAGATCCGCCACTGACATCTATGAATAAAATCCAGTGCTCTCCAACACATCATTCCACACGTCCCATCAGTCTGCGCAATGTGCTTTATAAGATAGCTTCCAAAGTCATTTTTAACCGCTTGAAGGTAGTTTTACCTGATATAATTTCTGAGGAGCAGTCAGTGTTTTACCTGGCAGATTGATTACTGACATCATTATAGCCTATGAATGCCTGCTTCATGGAGAGGAATAAAGCAAAGAAACACCAGTCGTGTGCTCTGAAATTGGACATGATGAAGGCATTATAACCGAGCGGAATGGCCATACCTGAAAGCTATTATGCTCAGACTCGGTTTCACAGAAAGGTGGGTGAGTATCATTTGAGTCTTGTGACTACAGTCAAATTCTCAATTATGTTTAATGGCAAAAAGTTGGAGGAGTTCAAACATTCACGAGGAACCCGACAGGGGGATCCAATATCTCCATACTTCTTCTTGTTAGCAGCGAAGGGCCTGTCGTGCCTACAAGAGAGTCATCCAATCTGAATGGTCTACAAGTGGCGCCTTCGGCACCCTCGACCAACCATCTTTTATTCATTGATGACAACCTGCTGTTTTTCAAGGCAAATAGTGTGGAAGCCATGGAGGTGAACCATGTTCTGGACATATACTGTCAAGCGACAGGACAAAGGGTAAATCTTCCCAAATCCTCTATATATTCAACAAGGGTGTTCCGGACAACGTAAGGAATGATATTAAGGTTCTGCTAAACGTTCCAAATGAAACCCTGAACGAGAAATATTTGGGCATGCCCTCTGATATTGGGAACTCAAAAAAAGGTGCTTGCAAATACTTCAAGGACCATTGAAGGATCGTTTATGGAGCAAAAGTTCAAGGTTGGATCGAGAGGACCATGTCATCTGCAGGCAAGGAAGTTTTAGTAAAGTCGGTTGCGTACGCAGTGCCCATTTTTTCTATGTCTTGCTTCAAGCTTCCAAGAGGTTTGTGTGAACATCTCAATATGCTGATCCGAAAGTTTTGGTGGGGGAGCAAGGAAGGTAAAGGTAAGCCACATTGGGTATCGTGGAAAACAATGACGCAACCAAAGAGCATGGGCGGTCTTGGCTTCAAGGACTTCGAACTTTTCAACCTGGATATGTTAGCTAAACAGGCATGGAGATTGTTGCAACAACCTAACACACTCGGTGCTCGCCTGCTCAAAAGTGTTTATTTCCCATCTTCTTCAATATTGCATGCATAACTGGGAAATCATCCTAGTCAGGTATGGAGGGCAATCATAGAAGGAAGAGATACATTAAAACAAGGTCTAATCAAGAGGATATGAAACGGAGAATCAACCAACATCTGGGAGGAAAATTGGCTGCCACGAGATGAGATGTTGAGAACCTATGGGTGCCGAACCCAAAACCCCCTGTCCTCGTTTCTGAACTAATTGATTCTACCTCTGCTAGTTGGAACAAGGAGCGAGTGGAGGAAACCTTCATGCCTATGGATGTGAATATACTCTTGAAAATTCCTCTTTGTACACGAAATATTTAGGATTTCTGGTGTTGGAACTTTGAGAAAAATGGCAACTTCACGGTCAAGTCTGCTTACATGATGTTGGTGGCTACAAAGCAGCGGAGGGAGGCTTGGCTTGAGGGTATCTCGGGGTCTTCAAATTCATCTATGGAAGAAGGGGCATGGAAAACACTGGTGCAGGGCAAAATTCGCATGTTTTTATGGAGATTATCAAAGTATTCCCTACCAACAGAAGATATTAGAGCTCAGCGTCAAATGGCAAATGATAGTTTGTGTGGTCTTTGTGGAGCACCTGATTCCTGGAGGCACTCTGTGGTTAATTGCACAATGGCAAGATGTATTTGGGCTCTTGTGGATGATGACTTGGCTCAAACGTTGGTGGCATCGACAGAACCAAGCGCAAAGCAATGGCTTTTCTCTCTCATGGAGTCGCTACCACACAGTTAGTTTGTCCTTCTATCTGTTACACTATGGACGATTTGGTATGTGAAGCGACAGGCAATTCATGAAGGCATCTTTCAGACACCACAAGCTACTCATGATTTCGTCATTCAATTCATTGATGAGCCGGAGATTGTCAAGGAAAAACACCCAGTTAGGATGATGGGTGCGCCAGCTACCGCAACAGGGCATCTTCGCCCTAGGGCGCCACCAGAGGGTTTCGCAAAAATACATGTGGACGCTAGTGTCAGGTCAAACAGAGTTGGGGCGACTTCAGCGGTATGCCAAGATGAAAACGGGTTGTTTTTGGGCAGTTTAGCGCTTGTGATTCCAGCGGTGGACGACCCAACTACGCTTGAAGCTATAGGATGTCGTGAGGCTTTTGCTTTAGCTCAAGACCTACATATTCAGAATTTTGTCATCTCTTCGGACTCGAAGCAAGTGGTTGCTGATATTGTTAGAGGAACCAGAAGCAAGTATGGAGTCATCATCAGTGAGATTATGTCTTTAGAAAATATGTTTCAATATAATTTTATTTTTAAAGGTCGTGATGTGAACTACGAAGCACACAATTTAGCCAAGTACTCTCTTTCGTTGAGTCGGGGATGCCATGTCTAGTTTGGCCAATCCCATGACACTGCTTGTATCCCACAATTTGTGGTCCACGATGAATAAAACTTGGCTTTTCCTCTAAAAAAAATTCAGTTCTGTTTGAGCTACCAACCAGGAACTAGCCGTCGTAATATCGTCATTATATTGGCTCTTAATTCACAATTAGTATAACAGGACAAGCCACGAAGTAACAAAAGAGCAATTTCAGGAGAAGAGGAACACAAGAGAGCTGACCTTGTGTCGCCCTCAACGGCGATGGGTATACTTGCGGCAGACATCAAGCTCCTCGTCGATACCACAGCGAAGCTGTTCTTCATGACGGCGGCGATGCTCCTCAACGAATAGTACACGTGGAACCAATGGAGGGGTAGACGTCTCGTCCGTGGCGGGGCGGGGCATTGGGGAGTTTTTTGCCTACGGTTTGTTCTCGTCTCGCTGCAGGCTGCGGTTGTAGTCTACCACGGATTCAATGTCCTACGCCAAACCAGATTAGTACAACTAGCCTGCAAGCGAGCCGGGCATACACGTAAATACTAATTCAGTCTTAATAGCATATCCAATAGACGGTCTAAATATAAAAGTAACTAACTTTTGGACCATCTAAGACAAAAAGCGCAGCTTCAACAAACAGTTCATATGTTAAAAAAAAATTTTAGACCGCGGCCTCCTCGTGATGTAAAATACAACACCTCACGATGCAAATTTACATCACGAGGTGCATCTGGTCCAAAACCAGCCGCTGCTCGCGAACGCCCAACCGCCAGTTCCTTTCCTTTCCCGCCCGCCCGCCCGCGACCTCCCGCCCGTCCGCCGCTGCCCCGCCGCCTCCACAGTCCACACCCCGCCGCCGCCCCGCCG